TTAGGGTTCAGGGTGTAGGGTTTATGGCCTGCCTTGAATGGTTAGGGTTTAGGGTTTAGGGCCTCGGGTTTAGGATTTATGCAATCGGTCGGTCACGGTTTAGGGTTTATAGGGGTTAATTTAGGGTTTGGGGGGTTTGGATTGGAATCTGTGTTCTTTTTGCGGTAGCCTTAGGTTGTTTTTTGCTGTCTGTGTGCGAACCCAGGAAGCCAGTGAGTGAGTGCACCCCGACCCTGCCACGACAGCAAAAAAACAAACGCGCCCCGGGGATGACAGCAGCAAAAACACACGTGCTCCCGCAACGGCAGCAAAAAGCCGCAACAACAGCAAAAAAAACACGCGCCTTTGCAACGACAGCAGAACAAAGCGCGCCCCGAGGACGACGGCAACAAAAACAAACGTGCCCCGGGGACGACACAACAAAAAACAACGCGCTCCGGGGACGACAGCGAAAAAACGTGCCCCGGGGACGTCAGAAACCAAGAAAAAACGTGCCCCCGCAAGGACAGCAACAAATGTGCTTGATGTCGCGAAATCTGCCGCTTCGACACGCGCGATCGATGTACATGGTTCATCGCCGAAGCTATGCCAAACCTATCCCGACCTAAAAAGCTACTATATTCAGTTTCACATACAACACGGCCAAATACATGTTCCGTGCAAACGTTGACTCGACTGCTTTCGGGGCAATTAATCGGTGTCTACTAGAAAAACGTGTATTTTCTCTTCATTTTCATGGGAACTGAAGGAGAAGGTATGGGACAGAACGAAAGAAAGAAGGAAAGAAAGGACATGATCAAAAGAAGAAATAAAGAGAGAAAGAGAGAACGACACAACGACACTAATTTAAGCATTGTGTTTGCAAATGGGGGAGGGGCTGCGCCCGTGCAAGCTTGCTTGACAGCATATGACTCTTTTCTTGGAGCCCATCATGCGAGCATTGTGTTTGCAAATGGCGGGGGGGCTGCGCCCCCCAACCCCCGCGCTTTTTAAAGCCGTGCAAGCTTGCTTCAAAGCATGTGAGTGTTTCTGTGTCCTATCATGCGAGCTTTCTGTGGGGCCTGCGGGCGAGGGGCCGGGGGTTGAGGGTTGGGTTTTCGTTAAAGGGTTTAGGGTTTGGGGTTTAGGTTTTAGGGTTTAGGGTCTGGGGGTTTAGAGTTTAGGGTTGCTTTAGGGCTTTGAGGTTTAGACATAACCTCTTGAGCCATTGAGGCTCATAGACTAGATCGTGAAGCCCATTACCTTTTCTAGGGCCAGGACGAGTTCCAGTGCCAGTACCAGTACTCGTACTCGTATTCGTGCTTACTTATTGCTTCTCCTACTACGACGATAACTACGGCTACGACTGCTTCTACTACATTAGGTTGCAACAAGGCCCTCAAAGGACACAAATAGGCAGACCAGACTCTGGAGTAGGGTTGAGGGTTTAGGGTTTTGGACTTTGATCTTTCCTTCTCTTCACCCTTAAACCCTTAAGCCCTTAAGCCCCAAACCCTAAACCCTTAAGCCGCTAAACCCTAAACCCTATTGGGAAGCTCTTATTTCCCTCGTTTGGCGGCCGAGCCCCCGGAAGATCCTGAAGCCCACTCTGGCCTCCCGAAGACCCCAACTGCTGAAAGCCCTATGGGTCCCTAAACCCTAAACCCTAAACCCTAAACCCTAAACCCTACAGAACCCTAAACCCTATATATATATATATATATATATATATATATATATAGGTTTAGGGTTAAGGCCCCTAAGATAGGGGCCTAGATAACTTCCACTACGATGTTCCGAGCTTCTTATTACACTTATAGCATAACATACCCCAAAACCGTATTCTGATTATTAAGGCCCCCAGCCAGAAACACCAAAGCTCTCAAGCCCTTCCTGTTCCCCAGGGATCCTCCTTGCAATGATAGTATAATAACAATACTTCAAAATCTTACCGTAATTATAAGGCCATTACATGACACTTCAGAACAGGATCTTCCCTTCGGCAAGCAGTTTGGGACGCTGCGCGACAATGAGGCCCTCTGGTAACGCGACAGTGTGCAGTTTGTGGTTGTGATCATGGCAAGATGAACTTGAGTATGACACTGAGAATAGTATTCCTCCTCACGCATTTCCTCCTCCTCCTCCTCCTCACCCCCCCTCCTCCTCCTCCTTCTAATCATCACCACCGTCATCATCGTCTTCGTCTTCGTGTTCGTCTTCGTCTTCGTCGTCATCATCGTCGTCATCATCATCATCATCTTTTGCTTCTTCATCTTAATCTTAACCTTCCTCTTCCTCTTTGTCTTGGTCTTCTTCTTCATCCTCATGCTCATCCTCGTCATCGTCGTCTTCATCATCGTCCTCTTCATCATCGACATCATCGTCATCGTCATCGTCGTCATCATCATCGTCACCGTCATCGTCATAATCGTCATCGTCGCCATCATCATCATCATCATCACCATCAGCATCAGCATCACCATCACCATCACCATCACCATCGCCATCACCATCATCATCATCATCATCATCTTTTGCTTGGACAGCTCAGGCCGAGATGGAGCTGGTGCTGGACTAGAGCATTTGGGTAACGGGGGACGTGCTCGACCTTCGGCTCTGACCAGATGCTTGTGAAACTATACAGCATTTATACATATATGTATATATAACAATGGGTGCTTATATTATGTCCTTATATATATATATGTACATGTATCTCTGGATATCGACATCAGGATCGCAGTAGGCTCCGCGACAGAGGCTCATGCTGCAAGTCTTTCAAAGACTCCTCAGCAGCCTCTTCCAGGTCAAGCTGGATAATAGCCAAAAGTATGGCCACAATCGCCACGGACAGGGCGTTGGCCCTGCGACACATTCCCTCCATGCAGGCGCTGTGGCCCCTACTGTCAACCGACATGCGGCAGAGAGATCAACAATGGCATCGGAACTATGAGATGCAGGAGCGTCTCCACTTTGCTCGTCAGCATCATGCAGACGATGCCTTGGACCTTCAACCAGAACCGCAGGGGGACAGGGACGAGCCAACAGAGCAACCGAGCTCTTCCTCAGCGAGACCACCGCCGGCTACGGAGATGGAGGATCCGACTTCCTTTGCGTCTTCGATGCACCCCGCGGCGGCGTCATCTTCCTCCAATCCTGGTGCAATACCTTCTGAGAGGAGGAGCTGAGATGGCTGCATATGTACAGTTTTTCATGAATGAGACAAGGGAGCTGTTCCGGGGCCACTTTGAAAAGGTCTCTCAAGGCCGCTCCGGTCCCAAGTCCGGAGGCGGGAGCACAACTACCGAAGCTCGGACACAGGTCCTCTCCCCGTAGACGTGAGGGTAGGAGGTGTGGAAGGTCGTAGCCCTCCTGAAGCCCAACAACAATGCCCGAATCTCTGTACGAGAGCAAAGCTTATCGACCATATCAACAGTAGGAGCCGTTCCGAAGGAAAGGCCCCCACAACCTTTTCACCCTGGTTTTCGACAGCACTTGTACTAGGACGTTTGCCAACGCCCATCAAAACCCTGATCCTTTTGCTGAGTAGGCTGTCAACATCACAAGCCTGCACGCACGCCCCCACGTTGATCGTGGGAACCGCTGCCCTGCCGCCACGCGGCCAGATCTCCCGCATAGCCAAGCGATCACTCCGTCGAGATCAGATACGACTGCAACGAGACGGCCAGGCCTGGTACCGAGGTAGACTGCTACGTGGACCCGCTGCAAGCCCCGAAGCTACACTACCTCTCCCTATCCGCAGTCAACGCCCAAGCCCTCTCGCCAGACAACCCCATGGAGCAGACAGAGTACATTTTGTCGCGTGGAACTGCGGGGGTCTGAGCTCGCTCCTCTTTGAGGAAATTCTGCAGTGGCAGGCTCCCATAGCCTCGCAGCGGCCATGCGTCATGGCGCTACAGGCAACGCACTGGAGTATATCCAGCGAATTTCAGAAAGAAGGCTGGACATGTATTTCCAGCAGTGACGGCACCTCCATAGGCGGAGTCATGATTCTTATTAAGTTTCCGGACAAAACCCTGCCGGCAATCCAGCATCATACCCTGAGTCCAGGTCGCGTCCTACATGTCAGAATCAACAGCGAGCCCCCCATGGACATACTGTCGGTTTACCAGCACGCATGGAATCCGAATAAAGCCTGTTACAGAGACACGGAGCACTTGTCGATAGACCTGGTACTCCAGGAGCGTGCAAGCATCTGGGCAATGCTCCGCAGCTGGATCCATTCGGTCCCAAGAAGGAATCAATTAGTCTAGGCAGGAGACTTTAACTCCACGCTTCGCCCCGCTCACCCCAACATAGGCGAGGGTATCACAACGCCAAAAGGACCCCCGCGTAAGGATCAATCTGAATTTCAGGATCTGATAGTAAGCACAGGGCTGGTAGCTGTAAACACTTGGAGACGAAAGGGACCAGCTGCGGCCACGTACTCCAATCATGCCAATCAGCTAGCGCAGATTGATTTCATCTGTCTGCGAGTGCCCTGCAACGTTCCCGGCCTGAGGATGCAGGTGGCACGCAATGCACCAGTCACCGCAGTAGGAGGTATGCGACATTTTCCAATACAGGCTGACTTACCCGCCCACTCTGTCCCCCGCGCTCCACCAGGGTCGCAGGGCATGGGACTGACCACAGCGCGCCGCATTCTGGTAGATTCAGGTGCTCGCCAGCAGTTCAGTCAGACAGCAACAACAGCCCTTCGACAAGATGACACCACAACCACGGACATAGATACCATCCTCCTGCAGGCTCTCAGCGAGGTCAGAAACAAGGCACCTAGATCAAGCACACAACAGCCACACCAGGAACAGTGCATCAACCTAAAATCATACTGGCGGCAAAAACGGGAACTCAGACAGGCTCAACAGCAGCTAGACCTGCACAGTCAGTCTAGAGACCGCCTTCTCTACACGCCAGATGAGAGGGAGAGCTCCGACCGAGCACTTGTCCAAGCAGTGTTCAATGCATGGCTCGCTAGCAACGAGTATGCCCGCACTTCTCGCTTCCTCAAGCAGCGACTGAGACAATCCAAAAAGGACAAGGTGGAGTCCCTAAACCGAGAAGCAGAAGAGGCGGATGCCAAGGGTCTCACCCACTTGTACAAGCTCATGCGGGCCTGGGGACCGAAAACTCCTAAACGCTCAGTACATCTCAAGAGCAAAAACGGCGGTCTTTTGTCACCGCAACAGGCTATTGACAGTATCACAGCATACTTTAGCGAGCTTTTTCAGGCCCCCAGGCAGGCTTGCTCCAAGCAATGGTACATCGAGAAATCTCTCATGTTTACCCGAGACGAGATTTCCTCGGCTCTTCAGTCGATGTCGGCGCGCAAAGCACTGCCCCAAGGCCAGGCGCCAGCCCTGCTTTGGAAGCTAAATCACGAGCCCATTGTAGACCTACTATACTCGGACTTTGCCAAGCGATTCGGGCCAGGCCCCATTCAGATGCCAGAGTCATGGCACCGCGCTTTTGTAGTGCTTTTACCTAAGCCCAATAAGCCTCCCACTGCTGTTGAGCATCTTAGGCCCATAAGCTTATTGCCTGCCATATCGAAAGTTCTGGCCCGCCTTGCGGCATAGCGTCTGCGACCCCTTCTGTCTGCAGCGTTCGAACGCCACCCTCAATTTGCTTATATACTGGGCAGAAATACCAGCGACGCAATCGATCGCGTATCGGCACACAGCAAGCTTATACGCGAGCCTCTCGTCCGGATATTTTCGCCAGCAGAAGAGGCCAGCCGAGGAGCAAATTGACGGGCGGCGTCCAACTATCACTAGACTTGAGTAAGGCCTTTGATAGGATACCCCGCCGATACCTGGAACTGGCGCTGCACCGAATACACGCTCCTGCCGACTTGATACAACTCATACTGTATATTCATCAGGAGACACGGCTAGTATTCGGCACGCAGGGTCTCTTTTCCGAGGTGCCAACAGGCACAGGCATCCGACAAGGATGTGCACTGGCACCCCTACTCTGGGCGGCGTACTCCCTGCTGGTTATAGAGCAGTTGAGCACCTACTTAGATGTCTCGCAGATCACAGCCTTCGTCCTGGGAAGTCGCCAGCCGTACAATTTCGCAATGCCTGTGCTCAGATTGGCCGCATCCTATCAGATTTATCAGATATGGGGATGCAAGTGTCGAAGGAGAAAACCGTAGTCCTACTTGCACTAGGGGGCCGCTCGGCAACAGCCACGCTTCGCAGTCATGTGCGTCCAGGTCCCAAGGGTAAGGTTCTGCTTGTGGAAACAAGGCAAGGCCCAGTACAGCTACCCAATTAAAAAGGAGCACTCTTACTTGGGGGTAATGATAGGATACGGCACCTTTGAGCGCTCAACAGTGCAGCGTCGCGTTCAGCAGTCCTGGGTTGCTTTTAGGAGGCTGCAGAGATTTCTTCTTACCCGCTCGCTGCCCCTGGCACTGCGAGTCAAACTCTGGAGAGTGTGCGTAATGTCTGTTTTACAAGATATGGCCTCACCACGCTGTGCCCCGACGAGGTTAGCGCAGTACAGCTACGCAACCATGTAACCAGGCAGTTACGACTCATAGCTAGGAGCCCTGCGCATGTTACCCGTGAGACCAGTCAGGCCCTGTATGACAGACTCAACGAGACGGACATTCTCCATCGCCTGCGCACTCTGACCACAGCCAAGGTAGCCAGTGCTCGGTGGCAAGTTGGGGCAATGCAGCCCACCAGAGTACACGAACACTGGAATAACTTGCTAGCGCAGTATCTGACACCACCGACTGCCGCAAGTGCTGACACCACGCGCAGCTTGCCCCATATGCGGCATCATGTTCCCTAGTCTCCATGCAGTACGTACACATGTGGGCAAGCAGCGCCCGGAGAGCAGCCAGGCAGCCACTCGTAAACCGTACATGCAGAGAGTAGCGAAAGACTCCTCCAACATGAAACACAGTGTAGATGGTATGCCTCAGTGTAAACACTGCGGGAAGCAATTCTCCAGTTGGCTCTCATTTCACGGACATTTTGCTCAGCAAGCCGGCTCCGTACTGCACGGGCAGG